TTGCTGGGTAAAGCAAGCTCAGATTCTCTGACCCTGAGAAAGGTCTCACTAAATGACCTCTGTGGGCATGTGCACACATACACACACACACACACACACACACACACACACACACACACACACACACACACACACACACACAGAGAGAGAGAGAGAGAGAGAGAGAGAGAGAGAGAGAGAGAGAGAGAGAGAACTTGCACAGTAAATCCTCAGTCATTATTTAGAACTAAAAGCGTTGTTTACAGAAGCTCTGCCACCTAATGTATGGCAATGACCCCAGGAGGCACAATCCATGTGCTATGTAATAGGAAGAGGCAGGCATTGCTCTAAGTATATGATGTTTCTGTATCATTTGCCTGTACTGCCTTTTTTCTACCTACCTAGATATCTGAATCTTACAAGAAAGCCTTTAAAGCTCAATGTGTGGTAATATCAGATGCTGCTTTAACTATACTTGATGCATGAGGTCTCCTGGAGCTCCACAGCCCAGGTTGACCTTTTTTCTCTGCCTCTTAGGGAAGAGAGTAAGGGAAACTCAAAAAAGATAGTAAGGGTGGCAAAGCAGAGAAGAAAGTTAAATAAAGGAAGGTATTTACCATTGAGAATGCTATGTAGCTGTCAACAATTAGTTTGGAGGAATAAACACAAATATGGGAAATATTTATCACATGTTAAGTGAAATGAGCCCTCCATCAATCAACATCACAGCATTTAAATCTCGTAAATATCTCCATTGAGGTTTCAATTTTTAGTGCTTGGCTTAGAATACAAGGCAATCATGAAAAGGCATGGTCATCTCTGGGAAACAATGTCACGGGTGTTTTTAATGTGTGGATATTATATAACTGTGTTTTTAAAAATCCTTCCAATGAGCTTGAACTTCTGAGAGGCAATTGGTGCTATCTAGGATAATTGGAAAATATTCTAAGAATACATGGGGGCCAAGATGTCACCATGCTGAATTAACATGATGTTGATATTTCTAACAATTACCCATACTTACTAGTAAGGTAAGAAATAGAACGTATAATTTAGAGAGCACTTGAGGGCAGCCAACACGGAAATTACATCACAAACATAGTAGTATTATTCCTCAAATACAGAAATCCTTCACATCCTCACTTTGGAGAAGACAACACACTGTGGTTAGACAGACACATTGTAACTAGAGTTTTCCTGCCTGGCCCACAGTCAGGACAAATCTCTCTCACCCGCCAGTCCCACAGCCGCTCAGACCCAACCAAGTAAACACAGAGACTTATATTGGTTACAAACTGTATGGCCATGGCAGGCTTCTTGCTAACTGTTCTTACAGCTTAAATTAATCCATTTCCATTAATCTATACCTTGCCATATGGCTCGTGGCTTACCGGCATCTTCACATGCGGCTTGTCATCATGGCAGCTGGCAATGTCTCCCTCACCCAGCTTCTTGTTCTCTCAATTCTCCTCTCTGTTAGTCCCACCTATACTTCCTGCCTGGCCACTGGCCAATCAGTGATTTATTTATTGACCAATCAACAACACATTTGACATACAGACCATCCCACAGCACACATGTTGCCAAAAGTTGTTCTGTTAGTAACAGGTACACCTGTGATTCTGCCCAGGTGTAATAGCTCAGCCCAATATTCTAGTAACTGCATCAAAATGATTGCTCCATATTTATTTTTTCATATAGAGTGTGAGGTACCCTAAATAAGTTTAATGATAACATGTACTTGTCCATACATGCCCATAGATTTGAGAATGGAATGTTATTTAAATATGAGTATTCATCATAGGACCAAAGAACTTTTTTTATTGACTTTTGCTTGGAATACAGAGGTGGTGGTCCTTTTGTTTGAAGCAACCACATTGACAATAAAGAGTTTCCAAATGAAATGAACTTGTCCCAAGATGAAAATATTGCTTTCATATGGTTTATCATCTAACACAAAGTTAGAGCCAAATGCCATTTCCCACTCTCTCAGTATAGCCAATACAACGTACTTTGTGTTTTTCATCCAAAATCTGAAGGCAATTCCACTCTAGATCATTAGTGATGAAAATTAACTGGAATAGGGATGGAGATTTATAGGTAACAATCTCAACGCTTTCTTTGGCCAAGAATGTAAGAGACCATTGTAGCTTTGTGCTGTACAATGCCTCCTGCCTTCTTGGCAAGAGCTTCTTCCTGGAAGAGGCCAATATGGTTTTAGTAGGCTAGCTGCCTTCCTTCCCATTGTTAGCAATGCCTTATGGTGTTCACTGTGATATGGAACAGTTTGAGTCACAGTCCAAGTCAGTCAACTTCAGTACCAATGACATTACTTTTGGATATGTATTTTTTTGGTCAAGGGAGGAGTCCAGTATATCATGGATACTTAGTAGTATTCCTTGCTAGAAGCCAGTAGCAGTAACACCCCACTTATTGATAAATATCTGGAATAAAAATGTCTCCTGATATTACCAAGTGACTTCTGGGAGAAACTGTCCCAGTGAAGAACTGATTGCATTATATTCTCAAACTTGGGCTAGTCACATCCTTCAAGACTAGAGACTTTTCCTTTAACGGGAGGACAGATGTGCTGGCCAGCTTGTCCCTCTGGCTGTAGTTGACAAGGCAGAAGAAGACCTCTTAACCCAAGCTGGACCAATCACTCACACTTGTTGTGTTGTGATTGTCTCAGAAATTGTATTTACAGCATGGGATCTGGGTTAAATATGCTTTACTGAAACTTTACTCTCAAGCCAAGTGAGATCAGAGTGGTGCCTTCTACCTGTTTCTAATTCCTATGAGAGTGTGAAGCAAATGCTTGAAGAGGGAATCAGGCCCTACAAAGGAGAATGAAGTAAGCAAAGATCAGAAATCAAAGGAAGAAAACTGACAGCAGCTGCCTAAAGGATTTCCCACAGTTGATTCATGCAGAATTCTTTCACTTCCTAAAATAACTTATGTTTTCTTTGTTGTAGCTTGAGTGTGCTTCTCTCTCAACCACTTACTGATCTATAAAGAAAACTACAAACCACAATCTTATCTAGAGAGCATCCTCAGCCTTCATATCCAGATGAAGAAGAGTGGACCTAAGCCAGAAGATAGAAGTTCTCAGCCCTGCTGAATGACCCTGCACACAAGGGTCATTTCCCTGAGTTCTAACTCCCTTGGTGAAGAATTAGGAAATCAAATAACACCTACAACTTTAAATTATCATAACAGCAGAGAACCATGGGCTCACTGCTTGGCCATAGTATAGAAGATTATCTTAAAGTTGGCAGCTATATTTAGGATTAAAGTCTGTGATACTGGCCTTCAGAGTCACAGAAGAGGTGACTTTCAAAGCATGTACCAAGGGGATTATCTTACTGTCCCTAGTCTGTTTCTTTATGCTTGCATTGGGAAGGAAACAGACTCCTCTGTTATCCAGTCTCCAGCATGGCCTCTGATGATCTGTGTCTGTTTCTCTTCATGTTCTGGCCACCCATCTTTATATTGAAGAGATAAACTGGTGGAACCAACAGGATAGCAACAAAATAATGACACGTAACTTCTAAGGTCTAACATAAAGGACATTGGAGCTTATGTTTGGTTTTCTGGTAGGCACTCTGGGGAAAACCTACTACTACGATACAAACATACCAAGCTCCAATGGAGAGGTCCACATGGCAGAGAATATAATTATTCTTGGCATTGGCCAAGAGCTTTGTGAGCAAGCCAGCACCAGTCAACATTTTAGAACTCACATGGAGCTACAAGAAAGCTTTTAAGCCAAATCCTCCCAACTAAGTTTAATTCTTGATCCACAGACATGCTAGGATCATATCTGGAATTTAATCTATTTATTTAAGACAGGGTTTTGTGTAGCATAGGTTGGTCTTAAACTTCCTATGTAGCCAAGGACAATTTTGATCCTGTTTCCACCTTCTGAACATTGGGATTACAGACATGCACAACTACACCAGGATTATGCTGTGCTGGGGATTGAACCCAAGTTTGTGCATGCTAAGCAAGCATTCTACCATCTAAACTATAATCCTCATCCAATGGCTGGTATTTTCAGCTGTTAAATTTGGGTGTGACTTATTATACAGAAATAGACAACTCATACAATGCTAGTAAGATTTTTTGGTAGGGTTAGATAAAATAATATGATCAATATGTACCAGATTTTGGCACATACTCAAGGCAACAGGTTCATTCACATATATATCCAAATCAACCAGAGTGATATCTGGCAGATTATTAGTGCTCACTAATTATCTTTTAAATGAACATTAGGTACTGCCAATTTTCCTATCACTAACACCATTGTCATCCCAAACAGAACACTGTCCAAATAAATTGAATCCATACATTTCTTGTCCTAAAAATTCCTTTACTTAATTTTCTTCAGAAATATCAAAACAAAATGTTATTTGAAATCCCTCAAACTAGATGTCTCTCTCTTCCTTCCCATGCTCTCTGTCTTTGTCTCTGTCTGTCTCTTTGTCTCTCTATCTCTCTGTGTGTGTGTGTGTGTGTGTGTGTATAGTTTGCTGCTATAACAGTATACCTATGACTAGGCAATTTACAAACATAAAATAATAAATTAATTCCCACAGAAATTCCCAATCTAGAAATTTGGATGTTCAAGATCAAGCCATGTGCATCTGATAGAGGCCTTTCATGATACATCACCACATCGTGGGAACCAGAAAAGGAGGGGCACTAACCTCACTCATGGTTAGTGATGGTGCAGACCTCATGGCTCAGTCACTTCTCAGATGCCTCACCTTCCTACACCATCAAAATGTTAGTCTGCTTTTAACATGAATTTTGGAGTAGACATTCAAACCTAACACCGGAGGAACATAAGTTCCACATGTATGCTGAGTTCTGGCATTTAACTACACAGCAGTTTAGATATGCCTTGTCAATGGTCCAGAACCACAGTTAGTTTACACAAGAAAATTCACTGTATGTTGTATGTAGTGAACTCATGAGTGAACATTCATTAGAGAGTGCTGAAACCCATTACTTACCATCCACACAGGAAGGTCGGTTTCTTGTTGTCCCAGCCACTTTCCCTGGTAGACAGGAACACTTCACTGTTTGCGACCGCTCCTCTATACGGTTCTTGTTACAACACCTGTGGGCTGCGATCACTTCACAGGTCCCTCCTTCTGGCAAGACAACAAAAAGATGTACATTGATTAGACCCAACACAGGGATTAATTAGGCATATTAGAATACACAAACTGGTTTGGAGAAAATGACAGGAATTATAGAGGGGTCCTGTGATATACAATTACTAAAGAGCTCTCTTCCATGGTCCATGCAGCCTCAGAGAACACAGGCATTGCAGTGTTACACTCAAAACAGCAACGAACGCCAGCGAATAAATGGGCATCTCAAGATGTGATGATTCCAGGTTGGATGTAATAGGAAGCAGTGGAGCAGCAAATGCCTGGGGCTAAAATGTCAAGTAAAGAGACCACCTGATTTAGATGCACTGTGCTGAGCACTCTTACCTGTGCTATCAGCATTTAAGGTTCTCTGAACACCCACTAATGATGAGCAGCAACAATACAGTGATACAGAACCTACAGTACCAGGAAAGCGGCCAGTAATCAGTTCTTCCCACTGCCTACCCATGTTAAGGGGGCTAAACTGGATGAAAATCTAGTCCAGAATCATTGCCAAGCCCAGACGGCATACACAAATGAAAGGCAGAATTTCTAGAAGAAATGGTATGTGCTTTCCACAGCATGGCTAGACATAGGACTCCATTTAAAATTTTAGGGCTCACTTATGCATGCATCAATGTAGACGGGCATCCTGATGGATTCTACACTCTACTAGCTCCTGGGTATGTGAGCTGCTGGGTCAGTGTAAAGTTGCTGAATATTCAAGTCACTCCTTTTGCTTTGGATTTTGCTATGGCTGTTAAGCTGCCCATAAGCTAGTCATCTTTCTCCATTAGCCCCCCAAAGGCTGAGATTACAGGTATGCACTGCCACAGCTGGCTTGGATCAGTTTTTTTTTCCCCTGCTGGAAGCAATGAGCTTTTCAGAGCTATAAAATATACCAGGAATTAACTTTCCCACCAGCAAGTTTTGAATTCAGAGGTAACAGGTTTTTTGTTTTTTTTTTAACCAAAATGGGCTCCTGACATTTAGAATTCTTGACCTGTGGCATTCAGTCAATAGAGATGGCAAGTATTTGTTGAACAAGAAGTCCACATATTGCTGTTATAAACTCTAAAGGGAGTGTATACTATCCAGATACATAGAAGGTACATATTGGCACACAGGAAAGTAGAAAAAGGGGACAGAAAAAAAAGGGGACAATTAAGACACTTTGTTCTCTGAGAATTTAGTTGGAGCACAGTGTTTTAGATTCAGTGGGAACAGGGCATGATGTAGTTCCCTCCCACCAATAATTGGAAAGTTTAGAGATCGTTTGTTGCCTGTGATAAGTAGGAGGAGCAAGGTGCTACTTGAATCCTATAGGTAGAATACAGGGATGCCATTAAACATCCCACAATGCTCCCTGACAGCCTGCTGCAGCAAGGGAGGACCTGGCTCAAAAGTATTATTATCGACAGTGTTGAAAAACCTTTGTCTTCTGTCGAAGAAATACACCAAAGTGACCCAACATTAGGTAGGCAGCTCTGTCTCCTGCAAGACAAGGGAAGAGTCCAAAGCTTAATCCAGCTGATTTTCATTTGAATTTCACTCCTTCCACTTAGTATTTGAGGGTCTTAGTTTCCTCATCTGTAAATTGAGGATAATAATAATAATAGCACCTACAGGAGAAGCTGTGCAGATATCAACTAGATAGCACACCTACCTAAGGGGGTTATCAGTGAGCCTGATGCATAGTCCAGAGTCCTACAACAATAATATCCAGTTGCAGAGGGGATGCCTGTGCTGATGTTCCTCGCCTTTGTTTCTTGTTTGGTTTTGGCAGTGATGAGGACCCAAACCAGGGCCTTGTGCATGTTAGGCAAGCAGAGTTACATCTCAAGTCTACTTACTCTCTTTCCTGTCTCAGTGTATATGGTCCTTTCTGAAATGTTCTCTCTTAGCTCCTTTCCTCCTCCATCACTCCAGCATAGAGGCATAGCCCTGGAGTATTGTCTCTTAGTGCCTATCCATCTAATATCTAATCCCACCTCCCTCCAACATGCAAACACACATAACTATGGAGAAAAAGAGAAAGGGGGTGATAGAGAAGGGGATACACACACACACACACACACACACACACACACACGTGTGTGTGTGTGTGTGTGTGTGTGTGTGTGTGAGAGAGAGAGAGAGAGAGAGAGAGAGAGAGAGAGAGAGAGAGAGACCTCATGAATTTTCTTTAGAGCTCAATGCCAAGATCAATTCCTTTGAGAACGTCTCATCATCTCCACAACTATTCATTCTCTTAGTGCCCCATACATTTCCAAATACCCAGTAGTCAATGTTTGTGGTTCCTCCCAGTCAAACTGTAAACTAAGGCAGGATCAAGGTTATTGCTTATTTCTTCTCAATCCTGTCAACATGGAAGGAGTCTAGAAGTCTTTTCTAAATGATTGAATAATATAAATGAATTAACTGACATTAATAGGAATAGGGTATGTCCCAGGTTCTGTAAACATAGGTGGAATGGCAAGTCCTTTTGTGTATGGAGACTACAGAAAACTTCCAAGATTCTGAGTTAAAAGATGAGGGTCCAACAGGCTGTTATGAAGAGCAGGACTTGCAGTAACATAATACTCTGAGGAATTTTTAAGAAGTCACTTTATTATTACAGACTAATTTTACATTTCTAGAAAATTTATGAAGATGATACTGAGAAGCCCCAAATACTGCTCACTCTACTATTTCATGCTTGCATTATCTAATTATTGACATCTTCAGTATGGTGCATTTGAAGTTTATTTGTCCCTGGCATTATGATCCAGTCCTATGATACCTGCTTGCTTAACATGTTTTGGCTTTGATGACTTGGAGTCCTTTTGTTGACTTATGCATTGCTTTGACATGTGGTGACCATTGTAATTTGTTTGACTTTTGTTTTGAACACTCCCTTACATTTTGACTCTTCAAGTTACTCCAGGATCACACTCTCTAACATATTTACATTAACCAAAGTCTAAGCTCTCTTCTACTTACTTAGTTTTAACCTTTTCTACTCCAGGGTTCAACCAGGCAGATGACATTGTGTTCACTTCCCTTATCTCTCTGGGTGTCTCATGGCTGTGACATTTTCTCAAACATTCATTGCTTTTTAATAACCTTGGCATTTGGGGGTAGACTGGTCAGGCATTTTGCAGAATGTCTTTCAACTGGGCTTTGTCTAATGTTTTTCTTATGATTAGAGTAAGGTTATGTGTTTTTGAAGGAAGACTGGAAAGGTAAATGCCACTCTGGTTCTAACCTATCACAGGTATACACTATCAATCCAGCTTTGCCTTATTGATGCTGAATCTGGTCACCAGGCTGAGGGAGTAGCTGTCAGATTTCTTCATTGTTATCGTATTTTCTCTTCCTTTCCACTTTGCAGTCTATTCCTTGGAAGGAAGTTGCTGTGAACTGCCCACATCTAGGAACTGAGGAGTTATATTTTATGTCCTGAAATTATGGTAATACACAAAAGTATTTAGAATTCTTCTGCATGAATGTGGTCTCTTTCTCCCCATTTTCATTTATTTATATTTATGTATACTCATGGATTTTATTTATGCATGATATTATGCAGTATGAGGTCACTTAATTGCTTCAAACATGTCTGCTTTGACTGCTGTGAGGTTTCTTTGGGCTTCTGTTCCTCTTTGCCACAGTGACCATTGTAAACTTGGTTTGTTTTTGTCTTTATCTGAATTCTTCCTCACTTCTTGGCTCTTCAAAATACTAAAGGATCATATTATAGATGTCCTGGCCTTAAGCTATAATCAGCCACTTCTCCAGAGCAATTATTGTAGCATTTCAAAAATGTACTACAATCAAAGAACTAAGGCTTCCAGGCCAGGTGAGACAGGGTTAAATTGGAGGGAGCCTTCTCCCCCCCCCCCCCCACCTCTCTCTCTCTCATCCTTTCTGATGCAGTATGGCAAGCATAGCGATTTGGAAAGACAATGTCCAGTTCCAGTGTGGGAATTCAGTGCCATCTCTCTGGCAGTTGTGTACAGGAAAGATTGGAGAAGAGACAAGTGGCCAAACAAGAGGGGCAAATCGCACTGCACAATACTGAGCAGGAAATAGAAAGACTTGAGCTGGGGTCAATGGAAAGTATCTCCTGATCTCCACACTCGCAGGCCTGGGATCAGAGTTAATGGAACAGGTCCAATGGTACGTTTCACTCTCACCCAGTCACCCACAATCATGTTGCTTCGGCTAGCAGTTGTCAACTACAACTACCTTCAATCAAATCGGTAAAAGCTAGGTTTACACTTCATGAAAACGCCACAAATTTAAGTGACTAATTGGCTCTAATACCAGACAGCAGCAGCATTTGTGATGGAAAATAGCACAAGGCATGTGGATGCTCCCAGGAGGTACTTTGAATCTCATTTGATTTACACTCACGTCAGCAGTTGTGATAGATGCACAAGATCATGAGCGTAGCATGCTGAATCCCAGCAACTTTACATGTCACCCCCAGCATATGAAAAACCAAGTCCCAGATACAATTGATTACTTGATTAGATGCACACAAGACTAACTGCAGTCTATCAGATTCCAAAGCTCATGAGGTTTGCATCTTGTACAAAAAAATAGTGATTCCTTATTGATCAAAAGCATCCAGAAAAGAAGTCTGTTCTGTCTCTCGGGATGGCTGTCAAAACTAAGGGTCCAGAATGCCTCTTCTCCCATTCCTGTCTGTGCCCTCATTTGCTACCCCTCTCCTTTACTCTCCTGCCTCCTCTGCAGACACTGATCATAGGCTGAGGAAATCAAACTAACATGCCAGGCATGGGCTTTCCCAAGGATTCCCACATTACCTGGGACACTATCCCTGCAGATCTCTCGCTCACTCTTAATCTTCTTCATCTTTGTTCAAATGCCACTTCATAAGAAGCCTGATTGATTACTCCATTAAAATAAATCCCAATTTCCTCAGCAGGCACACATGGGAATCTTTGATCTGTGTCTGACCCCCATCCTCTCCTAGAGTACCTGCTACTTCA